AAATAATGAATTATAAACTCTAAAAGATCGATGGGTTGGTGTAAACGATAATAAAATTAAGGTAAGTTTGAATAAATAAGGTTTATTAAAGTCTTTTTATATTTTAAAGCACATTTTAATTTCAAATGTCAAACTAAAAATTCGTTAAATCCTAAAATTCATTATATTTTCTCACTAAATATAACTCGTGGTATGATTAATTATCGATGATATTTACTCATTAAAACCGAAGCAGCACATTTCACTCGTCCTGCGGACTCGTGAAATCTGCAGCTCGGTTTCAATTCGAAAATATCATCGATGATAATCATACCACTAGTTATATTATGGGTGACAATACAATTCATTAATATTAGAACCAATAAAATGCCAGTATTCCATAGTGACGTATTTTATCACAGCGGCAATAATTTTTATCATCTTGTTTACACGTTACTAAGAATTTTGACACTTTTTTTGATTTAACATCTGTTGTCATTTAAATTCTGTATTTGATATATATCAATAAAATAATGAATTATAAACTCTAAAAGATCGATGGGTTGGTGTAAACGATAATGAAATTAAGGTAAGTTTGAATAAATAAGGTTTATTAAAGTCTTTTTATATTTTAAAGCACATTTTAATTTTAAATGTCAATCTGACAAATTTTTTAATTCCTAAAATTCATTATATTTTCTCACTAAATATAACTCGTGGTATGATTATTAATCGAAGATATTTACTCATTGAAACCGAAGCAGCACATTTCACTCGTCCTGCGGACTCGTGAAATCTGCAGCTCGGTTTCAATTCGAAAATATCATCGATGATAATCATACCACTTGTTATATCATGGGTGACACTATTTTAAGAGGTCCTTACCAGGGTCCATCATATTAAATGTTTATTAAATTATATTTAGTACTTTAAAAGTTATTCAAGGAAAACCAATTTGCAGGGGAGTCCTTTCGGGGCCCATATCTCCGTAAGGATGGTCAGTAGGAAAAAAATTTATAGGACCGTGTCATCTTATTTTTTTATGTTCTATCTGAATCCGAGAGATTTCCTACATTTTCCCGGACACCCTGTATATATAATATATGGAAGAAAATCAAGAATTGTCAGATGCTACATATACATACTATTCTTGATTTTCTTCCAGCGTATATTTTTTATTATATTCAGATTGGCCGGAAGCACCATCACATTCCCACTTACTAACCGAAAGTAATTCATTTTCATTTTCTTTCATTTCCATAGCTTCCAAAATTCGTTTTGAAGTATGGTCCAAAAGACTTTGCAAATTTACCTGTGCACCTGTGTTTCGGTAATAACTATTTCATTTGGATAGCATTCTTTGTTGCCAAAGAGTTTGTAATAGTGTGGTAAAATGTCATGCCAAAATCCTTTGCTGCATTTCTAAATGCTTCATATTGATATTTAGACAATTGGACATCTGCTACCAATGCCAAAGCAATTTTTTTCGCAACATTTTTGGGGAATTTCGCAGCTGCTGATATAAGATCTGCTTCAATGGATTCTCGTAATGTTTAACTTTATACCTTTTAGCACGCTCAGTACAATCCGAAAAATGCTTCTTTGGTCTTCCAACACCTGATGGACCTGGTTGTGATACTTCAAATATTATTTTCCTTTTCAACCATTCTTCATTTTTAATTTTAAACCACTTTGTCTTAAACTTATATAAAAATGTTAATTTAATTTTTTCAATAACAAGTGTAAATTGATTTTCATTCAAATTTGAAAATCTTCTTTTTAAATTTTCAGAAAATAGACTTACGTCTTTGTCACTATGTAAAAATAGTTCTGGTAAAAACGAAACAGAAATGCAAAAAGTACTCATTTTGAAAAATCACAAAATGCAATAGTCGCTATATATTGTAAAATATTATATAAGTCCTGATAACGAATCTGATAATCCGGCAAGTTATCGGATACAAGTGAACCAAAATCAGTAAAACGGAAAACAAAAATAAAAAAAATTAAATAAAAAAGAAAAAATAAATAATAATAAGTTCGAAAAGTGCGGGTGGCCCCCGGTTTAAGTCACAAAGTGCTATAACGTCGCAAAAGTTTGTTAGAGATGATTAATATTAGGTCACACCGATAAGCTACCTGACTACCTGACTACCTGGACTGTCACCACAATCGGCCAAGGATCACGAACTGTCCGCTAAGGACCGGGTAACAGAATTTCAAGTTTAATTAGTTTAGCTAAGTAATTTTTCTAATTGCATGACCTAAAAACAGTACCAATTCGATTCTAATCTATAAACTAATTGTTAAAAACTTATATACGCAAACTTCGCAATGTGATTACCAAGAATCACATCTGGCTTCAGAAAACAAACAGGTCCATACACTGAGAAAAGTAAACTCTTATTTCAAGTTTTAATTATTAACAGTTTTTACACATCCAATACGAACAATGTGCATAATTGTTTTATGGTACCTACAGTTTTTTACTTTAAGCTCGTAAAGTTTGAATATATACATTTTTATTACTACAAAAATTGTACAAAAAATTCAATTAAGGCAGTTCAGACATTAAATTAATGAATAAAATCTTTGATATAAGCACTCTTGTATAACAACCTCTGATTGTTTGCTTAAGATTTCTTTTTATTTGTTTAAAAAAAATTTTTTAATTAACAAAAATAAAAATAACATTTCCGTGTATAAGTGTTAAAATAACAACCTTATTTTTCTCAGTGATGCAAACCCATAAATCAACTTAACCAAATAGAAAAAGCGTAAGAGTAAATAAACCAAATCAAGCAGGAACGACACAAAATATAGAAGTTTTGTGTGTGTGTGTGTAATAGGTGTATATATTGTATGTATATGCATTTAAATATAAGCATTAACTAAGAGACCAGCCCATAAATCAAAGCTTTAAATAAACAAAAGCCAAAAAGTAAACGAGCACGTAAATAACACATCACAGAAGATAAGAGCGACCCTCTCTATTAAACAGCCAATGCCTGCCAGTAGGGCTGTATTCCAAATTATTACGTACACTTCAGGGCCGGCTTTATCTATTTTGTATAATAATCATTATAATATTATTTTTTAAATTAAATTTGAAAAAAGCAAGAATGCAAAGATATAAATTAAATGGTAAACGGAAATAACGTATAATACACTAATTTAACAATAAAATAAATAAAGAATATACAAGGTCTCGGCTGAGGGGTTGAATATCCACGAAGGCAGAGGGCACTTACGGCGGGTCGTGGCCGTAAACACTTCGGTACTGAAAACAAGATTCAGTTCCTCACAGAGGGGCAAACAATTTTAAAGAGGTTACCAGAATCCGGAAACCGTCTCGGACAGAGACGTTCAGAAGTACACTAACAAGGACAGGTTCTAGCAGCGTACTAACACTTCTACCCTCATTCATGAATCCCAATTGAATGGGGTTATTATTAAATCCCCGGTTGAGGAGGATTTTCTTAGTTTTGGGTCAGTTCAATGTCCTCCAAAAACCAACACCAACACTAGCCTAAACTGGACGTATAGCCCGACCCGGCGACAAAAATCCGGGAGTGGCCTTAACCATCGACATTGTCATCCACGACCTCCTAGGTTAGATCTACCAGCCGGCGTAAAAACTTCAGATCCAACAAACACAGCTAATGCTGTGCAGTGCGGGATACGTAGGAGAACGGAAAGGGGGTAAAATAACCCTGGGAGATTAGTGTAAGGCGATATCGATGGGGCCTGCCATACGTCCCCATACTCATACTCATTTTTACTTTAAGATACCTATGTACAAAGCAAAGGATTATCTATTAATTAATACCTAATAATTTGTTATGAATAGGTAATTAATTATAATTATTAATCCTATAGGATGATTATACTTTGTATACTTAAAAATATTTAAAAAAATTAATACATCGAAATATTTATAATTAATAAATTCAAGTAAAATTTATAAAAACTGAAAACTGTGGGTACGAAAATCTTGAGTGCATAGCCAATGCCTTAGTTAGGTACGAGCGCTCGCAATTTTATCCATGCAGCGCGATAAATAAAAATTCATAACTTTTCCATATGTGCGTATAGCTTATTTTTTGTGTACTGAACAACCTCATGTAGATATCAACGAGGAAATCGAAGGCAATCGTAGTTAAATGCTTATATGAATTTTTTTCTCTTAATTTTTATTTTTTTATTCAAATAGGAATTTTTATATAAATTATGTAGATTAAGATGTACTTTAAACTTATTTAAAAAAAATAAACATTTTTTTGTTCGATTAAAAGATAAAGTTTATTAAAAGTGTGCGTAATTTTTAGCTAATTTTACAGTTTTAAAAACTTTCTACTTTGAGGTGTCATAAAATAAAAACATAATTCTTTACCAAAATATATTGCTTTAAGATGTTTTTAACAAACTATCGTCATAAAAATACTTATAATAAAAAGTTTTTAAATACATATTTTTTCCGCCGATAAACCATAAAGTGCCGGTACGGTTCCAGCAGCAGAATGTCGGATGTCAGAATAGGTATTATTACAGTCAATGGGCCAGGCGACATTTTGCGCAATTATATGACGATGAAGAATTTTGAAAAGGTCTTTTAAAGTCGGTTGTTGCCAAAAAACATCAGTACTTTGCGCGAACTGATATTTTGTCAGCCTTGGGCATTAGTATGACGAGCATCAATAAAATAGACAAATGTGTCGTTTCTATAAAAAACTATATATTTTAAATAATTTGTCAAAAATATAAATTACATACCTAAACTTTTAAGAAAACATTCTGTACATGGTTTTAAAAAAAAAATTTTAGTTGGTAACATTAAAAAAACCTGTTCTTTCAGAAAATTTAAAAAAGAGCATCTAAGAACGTAAACTTCAAAACTAAATTAATATTTTAATCCTGAAAATAAAGTCTTATATTAAAAAAATACGGTCTATTTTATGAAGAGGCTTTAAATTAGTATCTTTTAATTTATTATAAAAATTATATCTATTATTTGGTTTAAGGCGAGTGGGGTACTTCCCATGTGGTTTTGAAGGGGCACAGATCGATTGTTAATCAAGTTAGATATAACAAACACAACAATCTCATAGCTTCTTCAGGTGTTGAAAAAATGGTCAAGGTAAATTTTAATATAGTTATATTATGGTCATAAAAGATTTTATTTTTAGCTGTGGACAACTCTTCCTATAGGCACATGGAGAGGTTCACTAGTTAAAGAATATTCTGAATCATCTAGAGCTATATACACTCATGATGATTATATGCAAATAGTTGGTGCCACAGGAGAAGTAAGACAATAAACTGATGAACAAAATCAAAGCACCACCTTTTTATACTTCCTATATTAAATTCAAATAAACTGGTTTTGTAACCTAAAGGTTGCCAAAAATCTTTAACGTGGGATTGTTTATACACAGCATTCTTTCGCCATAAAACATCCATAAGAAAGGACTGGCAATATAGCCTACCCTATAATCCTTCACAACATGAAGTTTTGTCTAGGTCCCCGGGATGCTTCTGGATTACCTAAAAAGTCCGATGACGGAGATCTCTACAATGTAGGATATATAGGATGTAATATTTTCTATGCTCTAGCATAACATTGCCTGTCATCTTCTACATACTAACTTCGCAAGCGAACTCATCCACTTAATCTTGTTCTGACCTACTATGGAGAAAGGCAGTAACTACTTAAAAATTCTAAATGCGTTTTCTTATGCTATGATAAAGCTATGGATATTTTCTATCCTAATTCAACAAAGAACTGCAGTAAACTATCCTATAAATTAAATTAATCAATTAAATACCTACTGCTTTTTATAAAAATGTAGTTATGCTAATTTCCGACAAATTTCTTGTTTAGCAGTTACTGCCTTTTTCCATAGTTGGGCAGTGTTTTTGTCCATCTATTTTGGTCATGGGCAGGTGTTTTGGTGCGGGGGGAGAGTCTATCAAATCCAGGTGAGGGATTCACGTTAGTATCCTTCAATTGGGTGTCAAACTGATCAAAATTACAACGCAATTATTATCTTGTTGCGACTCACTTCGACAAAATTGTTTAGAAAAGTTAGGGTATAAACTATTCAAAATTTTTTAGACGTTTATTTAAATTTTATAGAAATTTGATAATGTGCTGCTTTTATTTGCCCATCTGTTTATAAACTTAAAAAGTTATTATTTATTTTTTCCTATTTTTAGCGAATATCTCACGATTACAGTGACCAATCAACGCTTGAAGACTCTAAAATGATGGCATTTTTTGATTCGTTAATCCAAAGGGAAATTGAGGGATGGGAGTCGCCTGCGGAATCACTATCCACCGATAGTGATAGTGACGGACAGAGCCAATACTGGACTAATTTGATAACAGAGATTTACCATACCAGACATAAAAACTTTGATGAAGCTAAAAAGCATAATAAAACAAACACTATAGCTCATTTAATTTATAAGAAACGCCATTGTTTGGCGAAAATGGCGCACGATAAATCTAGAAGTGCTATTAGAAGGTATTTCAAATACAACAATAATATTAATACAAATATTAATTAATTGTTATTTTAGGTATCATTTAAAAGAAAAAAGTCGCAAAAGAAAAAATTTTGTTAAAGATAGGACTGCAAAATCCCCCAAAAATGGCAAGAGACCAGAAAACTACAATGCCTTAAAACATGAAAGTCGCAAACAAAAAAGTGATGTGGAAGGTGGCAGTCGTCTTCGTAAATATAGAACAAGACAAAGTGTTAAGGATATTTGCGAAAGTAGCGCCTCGAATAACTCCATTGATGCACCAAGCACAAGTACAGGGATTACTAGCTCAGCTAGTTCGACCTACCGAGTAATAGAACAGGATTCCGATGACGAATTGCCTCCTAACACTCTTAATTGCAATGAAAACATTACAGAAGAGGTGAATAACTTCGTTAACATTCTGCCAACTCCTCTCAATGGCACTCATGACCTGTTCGTAAACGCACTCGAGACTTCGACAGAAGTCGTCTCCACTGGCCATGCCCCTCTTCCTTCGACCAGTGCACAGAACACATATCAAAGTGATACGGACAGCGATTTCGACGATTATCAGTTAACACCCGTTAAGAAAAGACGTACCGTTAGCGCGTCTGACAGCGGCTGTGCTACAGGGCCTTGCAGTTCCAGTTCCTTGTCAAAGAAAAACAACCAAAATAATAACCACCGCCAAGAGTGTTCATTTGGTAATGGAGGTAGAAGTTCTGATGAGGAATACGTGTATGAAAAGTTTAGAAAAAGTGTGAAAAAGGCTAGACTCAACCTTAGAAAACAAATTGGAGCAGAGTCTGATTCAAATTGAATCTTTTAATTGTATGTTTTTTTTATTTTTACATTGAATTATTACAAATTTTATTTATATTGTCAAGTTCATTTAATTTTATCTGAAAACAATTGCGTATGTATTATAATACATAATTATTATACTAAAATGTTTAATATTAAGCGTTTTATTTTTCCATAAAGAAAACTGTTTTAGAAATCTTGACTTTATTATTACTAACCGGAACAAGTAAATATTTTCTTAAGCTTAGCTTTTAATTTAGCACAAAACCCGACTGGATTTTCATGAACATGACTTATTATGGTTAAGTTGCTATCAAAATCACCATATTCTAGATATTTTTCTCGTCTGAAATTTAAACTTGCTTGACTCTGAGGTGTCTTCATTTCTTGATTAGTTTTTTCTAGTGAACGTTTTACCAAATTATTTTGAATTGACGTTGTCTCCAATTGTAAGTCTAATTTGTTCTCTACACTATATGCAATGGATATATTATGATCATGGGTAGATTTGTTATCCTCTGGATAATTTTCAGGTTGGGGATTAGCTTGATGAAGAATTATGGTGGCAGGAGGTCGGTCATCAAATTCTACTTAACATATATAATAAATGTTACACAAATTGTTCCAATTTCCTCAATATTTAATAAGTAACATACCAGAAGTAACCTTATTTATGGATTTTACGTAGACTTGCTCGATAGGTTTGTCGCTAGCATCATAGGTATCAGCTATCAACTATATATTTTATTAACTTAAAAAACATTTAATTATAAACATACCAGATAAGGATTTCACGCGATCTTGTTCGATAGAAGGCTCCCCCTTGGATTCTGAAGGTTTTTTGCCAACACCGTAATTATCAGTAGCTGCGTCTTTAAACAGATAACTATAAACATTAACTTAAAAAATATAATTACTTTTTAGAAATTAACATAATAGCAATAATATACTGTCTGTTTTTCTTCTTCCATATTTAATAGCAACTGATTTTGGTACTAATAATGGCCCTTTTATGTGGACTATCTTTTTTCTTTTAACTCGCCTATAGCCTTCTCTTGAAGGTTTCTTGCAATCATCTTTGCATGGTTTCTTATTTTCTAGACAATTACAAGATTCCATTTATCCATTTTTAAATTTAGTGTACATTAAATTTTTGTTATGATGTGATGACATAAAAATGACTCATTCAGTATTTTGTCACATTTAAAAATTAACATTTTGGCGTCAAAATTGACAGTTTAAAACATGATTATGTGAATTTAACTACATAATGCATCATCATGGGTGAAAATGATAAAAACGATTGACGAAGATATATTTGAAAGGGGAAGGCATCTTTGTAACGCCGACAAAAGAACGCAAACCCAAGTTGGAAAAACCCTAAAAATAAATTCAAATGAGGACTTGCTGAGGAATAATAAAAAATATGTTGTAAGAATTATAGAAAGCATTGGAAAAAATAATACACAACGTCTACAAATTAACGAAAAAATTACTCTTAAAGATAAAATACAACAAATAAAACAAGATTTTACGTATAAACCTCACGAAAATCAACAATTTGACATTAAAAAAAGGGAGATTTTAAAAGCAAGGAAAAAAGAAAAATCTCTTGATGATTTTAAAAAAGGTAGACTTTTAATTTCAAAACAAAAACAATGTCAAACATCTCTTTCCAATTTGAAATACACCAAACAAAGTGGTGGCAGTTTTAAAATAATAAAAAACTCGAAATCTTTAGACAATGATTTAAAATTAAGAAAACTTTTTTCTCCAGTTATCAACCAATTTAAAACAATATTAAACAATTTTGACAAAAATACCAATATGGTAGATCTGTGTGATGAGAGGAAAAAATCGATGGATTCATTAAAAATGTTATATTTTAATAAAACTTTAGAAACAAGGGAACCATCTGTTGAGAATATTGTAAAAGAAACAAATCTAAATTTAACATCAAACACTGATTTTGAAGAATGTCGAAAACTTGTATGCAAAAATAATGAATTTCAATTAAATATTGGTTCTCTTCTTATTGATTCAATAAATAGTCCAGAAAAAAAATTTCAGTATAATGAAATATTAAAAAAAAAATCTGTATCTATTTCAGGTAAACAATTTAATATCAAAAGTTTTAATGATACCATTTTTAAAAAATACGAAATGTTAATGAAAAAACTAGAAGAGGCTTATAAAACAAAAAGTGTGCTTGATAATATTCTAAATCAGGCTCGATTGGAGGAAATCCTAGTAAAGGAAAAAATAAATAAATTAAAGATAATATAATAAAAAAATATTTATATTTTTGATTGTTCTTTAACATTTTCTCTAAAATTTTCATTTATTTTATGTTTCTTATTATTAATTTTATAATTATTACTAACCTCATCACCAAACTCTAAATTTTCTATTAAATTCAAAGAATATTTTGATACACCACTATTTATAATTCTAGCACTTCCCAAACACTCTCCATCCTTTTCCAGCACAGCATATTGTCCAGGAGTTATAGCCCTTGTCGCCACATCTAAGTAAATAGATAGTCCAAAATCAGTCTCAAAAACAGTACAAGGTATCCAAGGTTTGGTATGTTGAAACTTAAAATTACAATGAAGAAGTTCTTTGTTTTTTATTGATTTTGGTATGCTTCTAATCCAATGAACTTTGCCAGTGAATACAAACCTTGTGAATAGAATGGGGTGATTTGTGCCCTGAGCCTAAAAAATATGCTTTTTAGTCAGAGCTGTCCAATAAAAAAGTACAAAAGTCCAAAACAGTTCTCACACATAAAAGTTCAAAACAATTACTTCCTGGCCAATTTCTTAGATAAAAAATACATGGCAGATATAACCGAGGGGTAAACCTCTGATTTTTTTTAAATTAAAAATAGCATTCGAATTAACGGCTGATGAAAACAATCTTAAGGGTAGTCATGCGCAACGCGTCGCTAAGAGAAATTTTTTATTGATTAGGATTGTTCCTTATTGATAACGACTGATAAGGAACCCACTGGGAAAAATAATATTTCTACAATGTTACTGAACGTTACATTTGTTAGATGTAATGTTACAAAAATCCTTGTGGCAGGAACATTGCAACAAAGCCTTATGTCCGGCTCAGGAACATTACATTTACAAATAAAATGTTGCTTAAATGTATTAATTGCAATGTTACTAAATGTTATTTTTTTAATGTAAGGTTCCTGCAACATTACATTTACAAATAAAATGTTGCTTAAATGTATTAATTGCTATGTTACTAAATGTTATTTTTGTTAATGAAAGGTTACTGCAACATTACAGGAACATTGCAATTAAATTAATATGAATCCGTAAGCTATAGGCCTATTATATATAAATAACAGTCTGTTTCGACCTGTTTGGTCTCATCAGTGTCAGGCAGTCGGTGACGGGAGACACGCATCAAGCTAGGCAATGTTCACTTATAAAGATATAAATGACCAAGACAGCGGCGAGATGCATCGGCAAGTCAGTCTGCAAACAACATTGCAAAAATTATCTTAATGCAATATTTCGGATGAAACATAGTCCAAAACTAAAGTTATAATTATAAATGTAATATTATAGTTACAATGTTCCAAAAATCTTGCAAATTAAATGTTTATATTGTTTATATAAAGCAACATTGCAAAAATCATCTTAATGTAATATTTCGGATGAAACATTGACCAAAACTTATCAATGTAATATTATAACTGCAATGTTTCAAAAATCTTGCAAATTAAATGTTTATATTGTTTATATAAAGTACCATTGCAAAAATCATATTAATGTATTATTTCGGATGAAACATTGCCCAAAACTTATCAATGTAATATTATAATTGCAATGTTCTAAAAATCTTGCAAATTAAATGTTTATATTGTTTATCGATTGTTTATATAAAGTAACATTGCAAAAATCATCTTAATGTAATATTTCGGATGAAACATTGCCCAAAACTTATCAATGTAAAATATTCCCAAACATTCCAAAATAAATGTTTCTATTGTATATTTAAAGTAAAATTGCAAACATTTTTCATTTGAAACTTGTGTTAATATTTCAATTGAAACATTGAAAAAAAGTTATGTCTGCAATATTATAATTGTAATGTTTAAAAACTTTTATGCAACATTTTATACTAAATGTTACAAATATAACATTGTAAAAACTTTCCATGTGAATCTTTAAATAATGTTTTAAATTTAAGGTTGTTGGAAATTATTATATGCAATATTTCAAATGTAACATTTCATTTATGTTAATGCAAGTAGCGCAGGAAATATTTTATTTGTAAAGTCGGCGAACATTGCAGCAATATTTTGTAAGGTGTCTTTCCCAGTGGTAAAAATCAAAACACAACATCTATATATCGTTGAACGTTGGTCTCGCTGATTTTAAAGTGGTTTACACCTCGGATATAACACTAATATAATATAAATACATAAGATTTAAATATAAATAAATATAAATATGCATGTTTTCCAAAAAGAATGTGCGCACTTCGTTAATTTACTGTCAAACGCGGCAACAACGTAAATCGTTTCATGGAAATTTTGTTAAAATAAAACCGTTTATCGGAAAGCAACGTCCTCGGAGATCACAAAAATGAAAGCCTTACTGCATCAACCTTCTCCGGGGATCTGACTGGCGCACTGTGGGCGCAATGTCCAATTTTTTCATTTTCCAATGTTGCCACATTAGTATTTTTGGAAATTAATTTATAAAATACAAGGTTATCTTCAACTAGTGTAACAAACCATACCAACGTTATCTACGGATCAAAATAAGTCGATTTAACCCAAAATACCTATATGCCTACTAAGTTGCTTCGTTTAGTCGTTAGAGGTCTTTAAAGTTTTGAAAAATAACATTTTTTTTATAATCTTAATAACGTATTAATGTATTTTTAATATTTTTGGAATATAAGTTTTAACTGCCAATTAACGTCGTTTGGTGCTACACTCAGTTAGGTACTAATTTTCGCTTGTATTTTTTTTACTGTTGATATAATGATTTGCTAGAAAATAGAAAGCTTACTTTGTTTAAAAACTTTTTTGTCTCTTGTAAAAGTTCGATGAGCGGTTTAGTCAGAAAAAATTATTTTGTAATGTCTGCATTCCTACTATCGATATATCGCGATAGTTACTATGTTTTATCCCGAAATTTGACTCAACGCAGTTGCTTCGTTTAGCAGATAAAAAGTGAAATACAGAGTGTTGGTAATAGGTAAATGGTGTGAAAGAGGAGGGTTTTCGCATATTTTTTCGGTCACTTCCGGGTTCACCGGAAATGGGTCCAGGTTCAAAAAATTAAATAGAAACCCCTGTATATATTTACATTTTCGGATTCTTAACATAATTCTGGACTTAAATGTGATTTTTAATGCCTTTTGAGCAATTTTTAACAATGCATCTAGGCCAACTTAATGTAATATTAAAAACGGATAAAAAGAAAAAGTAGGCGTAAACACTTTTAACAAATATTAAACGCCTTGTATATAATTTGCTCATTGCCCAAGCAATACATGCGATAAACAACTTAAGATTCATATTAATTGTTAATATTTTCTTTTCTCAGAGGTTTACATTTTTGACTGGGATAAGTTTCGCGATTTTTTGCGATTTTTTTGGTTAACAGTTTTTAGTAGTCAACATCTTTGTCTAATAAAAAATATATATTTTGGCTTGGCATTCGTTGGCCTTCCTATTTTTTTACTCTGCAAAACTTAAAAAATTAAATATTCATGGTAATTACCTTATCAGTTCTTACCAAAAACAGAAAAAAACACGAATTTTCTATAATTTTATCTACCCAACACAATTAATTGACAGGTCTAATGTCAGTTATAAAATGTTTAAGGGGACTTTTGCTTTTCACGGCCCTCTAAGCTATAAAAAACTCGCAAAAATCGTAGTTTTAATTAAAACGATTGCATTAAAAATAGACTTTCTTTTAAAGATCTGACATCGGGCATTTATAAAAAAGTCTTCGTAGAGTATTTTCAAAAAGCAATTATGTTTTTACAATTTTGAATATGTTTTTAATAAAACAATAGTGGCAAATTATACATTTTAAATAATGACTTATTGCCACCTAGTTTGGGCATAGGGCCCACAGTGTGGCGGGGCAACGCGGTGCATCTCCAGTTCTTGTCTTCTGCACACTTTCTGTTTGCCTGAACCGTTCTGGCTGAACGTCTTAACCCACCAAAGAAGTGATTTCCGGTGATTTTCTAAGGGGGGGGCGCGACCGGGGGTATAATATACAAAACCACGTGAAAAAAAACTAGTTTAAATCATAAATTAATTAAACCAAGGCTCATTTATGAACCTTAATTGAATTGGGTTATTACTAAAACCCTGGTTGAGGAGGAGTCCGGATTGTACTTATTTTTGGGTCAATTCAATGCCCCTCAAATCAAAATGTTGTCCGTCCTTACCTACACTACACTAGCCTAAGTCGGGCGTCCCGGCGACAAAATTCCGGGAGTGGCCTTAACCATCGACACTATCATCCACGATCTCCTAGGGAAGATTTACCTGCCGCGGCATGCCGGGGTGAAAATTCGGACTCACCAAACACAGGTAACGCTGTGCAGTGGCGGGATAGGTAGGGCAACCGAAAGGGGGTAAAATAACCCTGGAAGATCAGTGTAAGGCGTTGCCGATGGGGCCTGCCATACGTTCTTATACTCATACTAATAATTTAAATCATACATTAATTTGTAAATCGATATTTAAATTTAACAATTGTTAACTGTTAACTGTATAATTTTCACTTTTAAAAACAACAGAATGTCCTACATACATTAATTAAAAACCATCGCGTTATTAATGATGCGATTAAAAATGTAAGAGATATTCAAATAATAATATCCTTAAAGGTGCCGTTAAAACGAAATGGGAAAGTATGAATATTACATTAAACATGTTTAATAATAAGGACCTCAAAATAAGAGGTGGTCCAACAAGAGTACAACATTTAATTCTGCAATAAAATGCATGATTTTAAAAAATAGTAAAATTTAAAATTCTTGTACATAGGTTCCGATTAAGTATGAAACCAAACGTCCATCAAATGACCGCCACTACTTTGCTGGCACTCTTGCTCTTTTGACGAAATTTCGAAGAATAATTTCGCACATTTGTTGATCAATGTCTTAAATTCCATCTTTTAGCTTATGTATTGTTATTGGGTGATCGAAATATGCGCAAGACCATAGCCAATAATGGTCCAGAAATCTCTGATGCAACCAGTCGATTGCGCAGTGTAGCAGGTTGCCCTGTCCTTCTGAAACCACATGCTGTCCACATTTTCAATAATCAGGATGTGTATTTGACAGTTAACATAATTTGAGCACAGCACAGTAGATTTTAAAAAAATTAAAAAATTACCGGGTAATTTAAATATTTGCACTCTTATTGGACCACCCTTTAGATTTTACAATAAAAACTACTAGATATATTTACCCCAGTAACAACTGCAATCAAAATTATTAAGCCTGATAAAGCTTTTCGAAAGTTTTAGAAGTTTGGCATTTTATTAAGGGACCGTCCATAAAACTTGTGACGCTAAGTCTCCCCCTTTCTTGTGACAGAATATGACGATATATATATAAAGACCCTGCCCCCTAAAACATATTGTTCGGATTCTTTGTTTGTGCTCGATATAATATTTTGACTAAAAATTAAAGAACTAAGCAATTTTATTTATTTACTTACAAATCGTGACAGTCTTTCAAACACTCCCTCCTCCCCAGCATCACAAGATTTATGGATTTATGCGAAAATAATAATTAATTGTTCGGTTCCAGCTCTCGAGAAGACACGTCGCGTGCCGGAAAGCTCTTGAAACGTAAAAGTTTAAAGATAAAACCAACAATAATTATAAAAAAGTGCAAACTAATAAGTGAAACAAACATTTTCATAGAGTGCAAACTAAAATGGTGTAACGGTCATTGAGGAGGGAAGTGTTGAGTGATATGAATGAGTGCCACCTGTCATTGGAGGCTTTTCACTGGACAGACAGGGGAGGTCAAACAAGAGGGGAGGTGGCCATCCGCAAAAAAAAGCTGATAAGTTACTTTAAGAATATGCATGACCTGATACAAATCTGCAACTTAAATACGGCAGATCCCAGCAAACATTTTCCGTTATTTGTCACCATTAACATTGCCCGTTATTCATTTCATTATACATAACATTTATTTTACTTGAAAATGTTAAAATAACTTTAATATGATTATGTTAAGAACGTATTTTACTTTTTAAACAATTGTTTTGTTTTTAATTACTATCATTGCAAAATTGTATTGAAAAGTATTAAAAATTCTTACACGGGCAATGTTGATGGTGATAGGTACCGTTAAAGTGTTTATTGGGATATCTTTAAAACCTATGAAAGGCAATCGGCATGGGCCAATAAATCTGTCAACAACAAATGCGTAAGGCAATCCCAATCGAGACCGAAAATAAACACTAGACTCACAGTATAAACTAACACATTAAAAAAAAAGCCTAATAGCCAAACTCGAGATTTGTAAACATTAGACAACAGAGTAATCCCGCTTTTAACTTGTTTAACTAATAAATAAATGCAATGCTTAATTTTGGAATTTAAGAAAAAAAGACAAAACTACCACAAAACGTGCTTGGGACAAAATTTATTAAAAACAACTGACACACTTTACCAAGTGCAGGAACTATCTGACCAGGACACGGACAATGACAATAACGAACAAGACAAAGACCTCGACTAGGAAACTACACCCCTGCATCGAAATAACAACTCCCCAACTCCAAATAGTAATCCCAAATGTTTGGAGTAATACTAATCGACTGGTCTAGGGGGATTCCGCGTCGTACTTAGTTTTAAGTCGGCGTAATTGTCCCCCAAAAACCAACTCCCTCCCGTCCCTCATCCATACCCCACCGAGCGTATAGCATAGGCTCGGCGAACCCGGGAAAGGCTATTATAACTATTCGCCTCTCGCTCTCGAGCCCCAAATAGGGGACAGTACGGAACGCAATGGACATTCGCACCCAGCAAACACGGGTGAAGCCGTGCAGTTGCTGGGGAAGAACAAAAATCGGCGTAAGTAAACATAGGCCTGTACGGGGTTCGAGAGTCAAGAGGAAATGGGGCTGGTTATACGTCTCTTATACTCATACTCATACTCAATAATAATTAATTGTTCGTTTTTTTTGTGCTATTGTTATATAACAAAAATATACATTTTAAGTATTTTACGGCGAATTGATATTTATCAGTAGTAGTAGTACCCAGCTACAGACCACTCTTGTCTCCCAAGTTCTAAACGGAATACCATAATCAGCAACTTACTACACAATTGTGAATTGTGGAATTGGCCTGCCCTTGTAAACATTAAAAAAAAAACAGAAAAAGTTTTAATAAGTAAAAAATAAGAGTTTAGAAAGTCTTACTTTCCCTGCTGAAAAATTTTTACCCGATATTACCCGTCTTAAGACGGGTAATATCGGATGATTGCGGATAAAAAAACAAACTAGCTAGCTACATAAATAAAATATTAAATAAAAATGTTTAACAATAAATATGCTAATCTACACAGAAATGCAACAATGTGCATTTGTATGTGCATTCAAAATATGTACATAAAAAATAGCTCTATTACACAGATATAATTAAATTCATTCTAAATATACAAACAAAAACATAACTAAATTCATTATAAATATACAAACAAAAACATAACAATACATACTCCATTCATTAAAATTACAATTAAAAATTATATACATAAAAAACAGCAATGTATTTATAATGTATTTATAACGGGTCTGTGGGTACATTTTAGTTATTTTTTAAATCAATTTGTTTAGTCACAGTAGATCTCGGTAGGTTTAAAACATATGTTTTACATAGTTTTTTAAAAATATTTTTTGATTTGGCTTGTTTTATATTTTCTGGTAAAATCCGATATATCGGTTTTCATCTGCAATTGCGGGTATAAATATTATCCGCGAATGTCGGGTTTTATCTATTTAGTTTTATGTTTGTTTTCGTCTGGTTTCATCTGCAAATACCTGCTTTTATCTTGTTTTACCCGGTTTTATCTGCGTTTGCCTTCATTTATTTATTTGCCTGCTTACGTCCGGTTTCATCCGCGATTATCTGATTTTATCCGGTTTTACTTGTAAACATCTGCTTTCATCTATGAACGTCTGATTTCATCCGCAAACATACATTTTTTTAAAATTCTCTTAAAAACTCAGAATAAGACAATAAGTCACACTGTTAACAGTTAAAAAGATTTGGAAGTCTTCTGGAAGAGTTATTCTAACTTAATCAGACAGCACAGAAAATAAAACATAAAGAAAACTATTTTATAAGCCAAGTTTATTGCAGTTGTAGAATACATAAAATGCACTTGTTTAATACATGAGGTGTAATAATTATAACAATTATAATTTATTGCAATGCATACGATGCGTCCTATTCTAAGTTTTTCTAAGTATTATTCTGAGTTTTTAAGAGAAAGTAAGACTTTCAAAATATTACTTATTAATAAAAATTTTGTTTTTCAGAAAAGGTGCACATGGTACTAGTGTGTTATGTTGAAAATAAGTCACGCGAGAAAGATTTCTCAAGTGACTTAGGAAACATAACACACGAGTAGCATACAATGTTTTATCCAACAAGTGGAAGAAATCGTTTTTTATGAGATAATAATTAATAAGCTTTGTGATCAAATCATCATCAAAGCTACTTGCCTCTCAGTACCCTATAAATGTCAGAATGACTTGACAGTGACTTTTTTACATTTTGGTCAAAGTAGGTTGTTTGTTTGGTTGCCACGGACATGATACATTGTTAGCAAATGTTTAAATAAATTTTGACACTTGTCAGTTTTCCCTGCAGAAAAGGGAAGCTTTTTTTCAAGAAAAAAACGTATTGAAAATGGAGGAAACCGATGAAAATTACGTTCCTGAGGATATCCTTACGGAAGCGGAAGAAGCAGCGATGCAGATTTTACCAGAAAAGTCCCGAGATGCTTACGACAAGTTCAAAATGTTTGAGTCTTGGATGAATTCACGGAACATAAAAGGTATCGATGAAAATGTTCTATTGGCTTATTTTTTACATTTGCAAAAAAAATTAGCCCCATCGTCGCTATGAACCAAATACTCGATGCTTCGCTCGACTATTCACCTTTATAAAAAATATCGACATTTCAAAATATGGCAAACTACCCTGCTAGAGACCTATATAAAATAATCTATCGGGCGCTACCGGATTCAATATGTGCATTTGTCCATGGTTTTTTTCGGATACACCCCGATAGAAAATTTATAGGAAATTACCTATAGACACCATAACTTTTACATTTTCCCTATTTAGACCGAGCAAATAACTTAATGAAGGATATACAGGGATGGTAATGGGCTCTTAGGCCGTTTAATAAACAAAGATGCATGCTATATGAAACGTACGAATAAGTGAGATAAACGTATAAATAAGAGAGACAAACAACCATTGTTGAACGAATAGCTATATCCTAGGATAACAAAATACTTATTTCCTCTCTGCCATAAGCGTGCAGTACAAGATTTTAAAACGATTAAATCAAAACAATTAAACGTCCGCCAATGTTTTACTTCCCCTCCCCTAACTGCTTTACAATCCCACCAAGATACATACACCTTAAGATAGGATGGTGCGCATGTTGGGCGGAGCTTAAATACGTCACTTGATGAGTGTTTTTAAATCTTTAACGTGCCTTTTAATTATCTGCTGCTAAAATTCTTGTTTTTGCGATGCTGTTGGATGTTAACTTGCTCTATTTTTTGTTTAACTTGTTAGTTCTGCTTTCGGTAAGGTTCGAATTACTTTTCAGTGTTCAAATTATTGTTATTGCGTTGTGTTAACCTGTTCTGTTTGTTTATTATTGTTTTTGTGTTGCGTTAACTTGTTTTGTTTGTGTTTTAGTTTGTGTCGTACCATTTGCATTTATTAAAATGAGGTGTGGCATATTTCTAATAACTTAAAAACTCTTAAGATTTTATAAAACATTTATCAAATGATGATTCTTTAGGTGCTCAAGGGCAATAGGTTTTTTTGAAATTTTAATTTTTTTTTAATTAAATTAAAATTTTAATTCATATAATACACATCATTTAATCGATAACATAAAGAAATAACAATGACCATCCTATTATATGCCTACTTACCACATAAATATTATTATTTTCTAAATTTTTTCTTGCAATAAAAAATGCTTCTGGTAGTCCCTCAAGCCTGGATCTTTGTCCCACTGTCCACTGATGAAATCCCTCATGTTTTCCCATAATTTCTCCATTGTCTATGTTTATAAAATTACCAGGTTTGGTAATTATGTACTAAAAAATAATATTAATATAATATAAAATACATCTACTCCTATTAGCAGTGGCGGACTAAGACCGTCGCGTCGGGGACCAGTGCGGCAAAATAAAATGGAGCCCCAAAGTCTGCTTAGAATCAGTTTCTTCCTAAGAAGAGATTTTTATTTAATGGTTTAATACCTTATATTGAATTTACTAGTAGATCTTTCGCGATCGGCCACCTAGGACCTTAAGTAAATCATAGAAATGAAAATTGAGTTTGAGTATTTTTCAGCAAACTTATAAATTGTTAGTATTTTTTTTTAATCATGTTCTAAATTAAAAATTACACAGGCCTACAAAATGTTTTAACTGAAACCAGACAATGTTTTTCTGAAGGTTTTTGACGTGCTTAATCCATATTCGACCTCAGAGTTGATCCATTACAAGAAATTCCAACCCAAAAGTGAAAAACTCAGATATTTTTTATAATTTTTAAGGTTAAGTATATATTACTTTATACGGTCCTGGAGTCCCCTTTCAAACCGTGCACTGCACCGCCTCCACTGGTACTAGTTACGAGTCTGGGAGTAGGTATTACTAAACTTTGTCTGTAACTAGATCCGAGTAGGTGCAATGCACTGTATGCCCTAATCATGCTTATTTTGCATGCGTTCGGAGCCCAATAATTCCAAATGCCGCTTCCTGAACAAAAAATGTTAGCGTTATTTTTATTAGACTGTGGGAGACTTTTCTGTTTTGGGTCCCCCTAGACCAGAGCACGGTGGGATGACCTTGGCAAAATTACTTTTGGGTCACTTTTTACTAGAACTTTTAAAAGCAGTGGCGGCTGGTGGATTTTGGGTATACCGATATCTCAATTATTAGATATGGGACCCACACCAAATTTATATGAGTTTATAATGACATTAAATAACCAAGTTCTGCGCAAGCAGAATTTAAATTAAAGTTTGCGAAAAAAAGATAACTTTTTGCTCGGCCGTACCGGCTCAATGGCGCCCCCAATAAATATAATATAAATTTAATTGGTGCAATTTATTATTCACCATAGTTTTTCTACAAATATCAAATTTTATTTAAAAAATACAAATCATACAGATTATATATTATTTTAAATTTTTATATATATAATTTTAATTAATTTAATATAATTTAATAATATTAAAACTTTAAATGGTATAAAATCCGTATAAATGGATTTTTTTAATGAAATTTGAAATTTGTCGATAAACTATGGTAAATAATAAATTGCACCAATTAAATTTATATTATATTCATTGGGAGAGACATGGGACCGGTACGGCCAAGCAAAAAGTTATCTTTTTTTCGCAAACTTTAATTTAAATTCTACTTGCGCAGAACTTGTTTGTCATTATAAACTCATATAAATTTGGTGTGGGTCCCATATCTAATAATTGAGATATCGGTATACCCAAAATCCACCAGCCGCCACTGTTAAAAAGTATGTCATCTTACAGAAAAAACCTCAAGGAATCTAAATGTTTTTATTTTTGTAATATCTTTTTTGGTTTTTAAGTTAGAGCCCGTCAAAAATGATGTATTTATAAGTTTTAATGGATTTTTGATTTAAGTAAAATATATAATTAAAGCCAACCAATGAAGTTTAATCAAATTAAACGCTCACATATGAATACTAAAGCGAATTTGATAAATATGAAAAAATGCCATTTTTTTACCCAAAAATGCTGTAAATCTCAAAAACACCACCAAATACGAGGCGGAACATATGAAATTAAATATAATTAGCATTTGGGCATTTGACTTTGTGGATCATGGTAAACTAATGGCTAAGGTTGAAAAATATGGCATTAGAGGCTCGGCATATAATTGGCTTCTTAGTTTTTTAACTGACATAAGGCAGTATGTATCTATAAAACACAAAAGTAATACAATGTTATCAGATATATTATCAGAATATTTAAAAGTAAAAATAGGAGTGTCACAGAGTTCAATTCTTGGCCCTGTGTTTTTTACTCTCTATATTAATGATCTAGGGTTCCATTTAAAAGATAACTGCATAACAACTTTTTATGCAGATGACACATCATTAATTGTATCTCATAAAAATAATAACATCCTTGAAAAAGAATGCAATGACAACCTGCAAAGATTGTCCATATGGTTTAATAACAATTCTTTGTATTTAAATACTAAAAAACCAATTTTATTAGGTTTCATAACCAGGGACATGGTAAAATAGATTTTCTTGATTTGTATTTGGAAATAGATGAGCAAAGCATAAGAAGAGAGACTAACGTTAAATTTTTAGGAGTCATAATTGATGAAAAGTTAACCTGGAAAAGTCACTGTGACTTTCTAATAACAAAATTAAGTTCTTTTGTTTACCTTTTTAAAAATCTAAGGACAATCTTAACACTTGAACAGTTATTAAATTTATATCATGTCCGAGTTAGTTGGGGATCTTCTACTAATTGTATAGATGTATTTTTAAGTCAGAAAAGAATTGTACGGAGCTACTCGTGCAAGTCCCTTTTTAAGCAGTATAGCATACTGCCATTGCCATGTGTTGTAATTTTTGAATTGGGTGTGTTTTTAAACAAGAATAAATTTTTAAAAAATTCGGATATTAATAGTTTTAACACTCGTACAAGAAATAATTTAAGAGAACCATTTGATAGAATAAATATAAAAAAAATCTCCCAATAATTTGGGTAAAACCATTTTTAACAGGCTTCCAGAGAAAATTGAAAATGTTGCCAGAGTTTTTAAATTTAAATCTCTTTTAAATTCGCTTTTTGTTATTTAATTGTTTTATAGCATAAATGAGTTTTTAGGTATTAGTTATATATATTTTGTCTTGTGTGTACTTGTGTATTTTAAACTGTTTGTATATATATATATATAATAATATTATAATATATCTTTCTATACATGTCTACAGAAAATAAATATATTATTATTATTATTATTAATATTATATTATTTATATCTAAAGAAAGGTGTTTCAAAGAGAACACAGAAAACTTTTGTTATATAATATAATAATGAATATAATTGTAAAAATGTCAATATTTTGTTATAGGTTTTTGTAAATAATAACAAAAATATAATATTATAATAAGTTATGAACGCATCCTAAACTAGTAAATTGTATAGCCTGCAGATATCAGAGAGCCTTATGTCATTTATTGAAAAGCTCATGTTAGATAAAATAAAGTTATAAATATATGTAAAACACAAACATTTAACATTCTGATTTTTGCTTCTGTTTAATAAATATTATAAATAAATTGAAAATAAATAAAAACAGACTTAGGAATTTAAAAAATTTAAGTGGCGCAGTCGTGACGGATAAGTGTAGCTTTTTCAAAATCGTACCGATCGTAACGTATTTTTGGACTAATCGCGAGTTTTAACTCTCTGACACTTGAACCATTTTCCGGCCTTTGTCCAAGTGTTTGGTACATCGTAGAGGACCGCCTTCAATAAACCAAGCCTTTCTCAAAGATATGGAGGACCGCCTAAAACCATTTGTACAGATCAAAAGACAGGATCACCAAAGAAGTTTCTACGTATAATAAATTAAAGTTATTTTTAAGTTATTTTTAGGAATCAAAGATAAAGATTAAAACATAAAAACTTATAAAATTTAAATTTTAATTCATTCATGACAGATAACGAATTAGGCAATTTAAGTAATTTATTTTCAAAATCATTAAGAGTAGACGATGCAAACGAAACAATGGCTACTCGAACAGTTAGCTTAAATATGCTTAAAATGTTTGTCGATACGATTCCTTGTTTTAATGGTGATGTCAACAATTTAAATAATTTTATTTCTGCTGGACAATTTTTGTTCAAAACGTACGGCGACGCCAATTTAAAAAAAAATTAATTCGCGGAATTCAAACTAAATTAACTGATTGCTTACCAATCATGGAAAGATTCACTAAACTATCAACAAACTTTATTAGCAAGGACGCCAACTACGACATTCTTAGCGAATTATGTTTGGAAGTACAGGGCAACAAAAAATTCAAGCACCCAGAAAAGACCTTATGGAAACATCTTCAACAAATAAGAGAAAACATATTAATTAATTAATTTCAACTTTATAATTGAGGGGCTTGGAAGTAAAACGGTTCAAGTGCACTTTTTTAAATAAATGGTCTAAGTCACACCTCAAGAATATTTTAACTTAGTAAAATTATATAAGTACATTTTACATTCCCTGGCGCCATTTCTTATCGTCTTTAAAAACCTGTCAAAAAAATATATCTTTGGTAAAACGATTTAAGTGCACCTTTTACTGCTATAGTTTATAAATATAGGCTATTATCTATGCTGCTAAAGCCTTGACAAGTATTTTAAAACATGTAAAGTGATTACGTGTTTTCACAGATATTTTTCAGTGTAAATCCCAGGGTTAGTCCCTACTGACATTGATCCGACGTCGGAATAGAATCGGCCATAGGATGTCGGCCAGCAGACGTCGGACGTATGTTCGCACAAGCGATTCTGATTATGAATAATACTTTTTGTTGTAAAACCCAAATTTTAAAAAATAAAGTTTTGTTCTAGTACAGTAATTGCATTTAAATCATTTTACCACTAAATTTTGTCTTACGTGCATCACGATTTAAGTACATTTTTGTAAAAAAAATTAACAAAAAAGCTAAATTGAAAAATTTCTTTTTCTTTATAATCCTTTTTTGTTTTTAAACAAAACTAAAATATTCACACAGTTTTTTAAACTCTTTTCTAGAATTTTAAAATTTAAGTTAACTTTAAAGCCATTTATCTCAGAAATAACAAAAATGCACTTAAACCCTTTTACTTCTAGGCCCCTCAATTGTTTTTTACATACCCAGATAGCAATCGTGCGTCGCACGTATGTCGCACTGCGTGAGAACGCACACGTGTGGTCGATTTCACACGCATATGAGTACCATAGCCGTGCGCGCATACGCGATGAGCGCAGTATGAGCGCACGACGTGATCAATGATCTCTTACACTGTGCTTATCGGCAGTG